TGTCCTGCAGCACAGGAGGCTGCTCAGAGCAGCCAGCAGAGCGGCCCCAGCCACGCACGCACATACACCTGTATAATGAAAAACTCGGGGCTCGGGGAAAACCTCCTTCTCTGGCTGTGAACACACATCAGGCCATTAACTCAGAACTCCAAAACAGCCCCAGAATAGCGAGGTTTCAAGGGAAGTGCCCTCCTTTTTGGAGAAAGCAGAGGGCAGGGAGAGGAGGAGCCTGAGCTCGCTTGCCCTCTGGCCGGAGCGCTGTTGTGCAGCGTCACCCCGAGCAAACACACCGAGCACTTCAACGTGATTGAAACCGGCCCCCTTGCAACACTCCGTGGCACTTCCCTGGGTCACGGGGAGCTTCTGATGTGGTCTCCATGCAGGGACAAAACTCTCCCCGGAGAGGGAGGTGGGCAGCTCTGTGCAGCCTCCACTCCGCAACAGGGCCAAACCGCGACGTGAAAGGGGAAAATAACCAACACAACCCCTAGATTCCCCGCTTCCACCCAAATTAAGACTTTACCAAGCCTTCCCAAAGCTCCAGGCACCTATAGCCCAACTTCTGCAGAAATCTTTTTGCTAAAATGAAAAACAAAGGAAAAATAAAACCACCAGAACGGGAAATGCAAAGATCCAGAGCCCCAGCCGATGCACCCCTTACACAACCTGGATTTTCTTTAACACGCCACGGTGAGGGTTTCCTTTTCTTTTTCCCCATTTTGCTTTCCTCCTCGCACATCAGCGCTGGGAAAGCAGGGCAGAATGAACCGCGGCGAGGAGCCGCCACACCAGGAAAAGCAGCAGCGCTTTAGGAGCGGAGGGTTTCGGCGGCGCGGGACGCGTTTCCTGCAGCCCCCTTACACAACCTGGATTTTCTTTAACACGCCACGGTGAGGGTTTCCTTTTCTTTTTCCCCATTTTGCTTTCCTCCTCGCACATCAGCGCTGGGAAAGCAGGGCAGAATGAACCGCGGCGAGGAGCCGCCACACCAGGAAAAGCAGCAGCGCTTTAGGAGCGGAGGGTTTCGGCGGCGCGGGACGCGTTTCCTGCAACTGCCCCAGCAAAGTGCACGGGGTAAAAGCACAGGAGCTCCCGCGGCGCGTGGAAGAGACCAACCAGAGAGCGCAGACACAAACAGGAAGCTGGCTTCTTAGTTTATGGTGAAAAAAAGTACAAACACGCGTTCTGGAGCAGTATCAGGTTCAGTTTAGGCAACACAAAGATTAGCGGCATCTGTCAAAGAGCACCAGGTCACAGCTCTGCAGGGCGAATCTCTTCATTCCTGAAGCTTGCAGCACCCGTGAGCTTAATGGTTGCGTTTCTCCCGTCTCATTTTACTAATTAGAGTCCATCTTTCTTTAATTTTTTTTTCCAATTCCTCCTCTTCTTTCTGTAGATGATTTATACCAGACGAGCAAAGTTGATGCAAAAACACAACTGCTTGAGCCCTGCCTATTGCATTTAAAAATACATGGTTTATTTGAAAAATCCGTACAGCCAAGGCCATGAGAACCCACCACCTTCGCGTTACCATTTCAGCTGTCACTCGAGTGTCCTACCTAAAAGTGAGAAACATCTGAAGGGAAACTGGCACCATCCTTTTAAAGCTGCATCTGGGATTAAAGACACAACCGAGTCCTTTTGTTGCTCAAACAGATGAGAACCAACACAGCAGATGAGAACCAACACAACAGATGCTCATAGAAATTTTGCATGTTGTAACAATGCTGTAACAATGTCAAAATCACTTGAAAAAAGTAGAAAAATACACCTAACAGTAAATAGGTCTGAAGAAAATAATAATTAGATTTTCCTTTACAAACAGGCATATGCTGCAGCACAGCTTTAACAGCTCACGAGCTCAGTACATGACCCCACTCGTGAGAGCTCTGGAGATCTCTCTAGCTAGGATCAGGCCCCCGGCGCCCCGTGAACCGCCAACAACTGCTTCTGCTTACGGGGAGAGACGAGCAGGACGCGTCGGGCTCCTGCAGCGGAGCCGTTTGACAAAACTTAAAATAAATCAGTCGTGGCACTAAACTTCAGCTTGAAAAATGCTGGGGAGTTTTACAGGATGGGAATAACGGCGCAGAACGGCTGAGTCTGCCATTAGGAGCACAGAGTTGGGCTCCGCAGCGTTACCCGGGTCTGGAATAACGAGGGGAGAACGTGAGGTCGCAGAGCCGCGACGCAGGGAAGCGTCGGCCGGAGCAGCGCAGTCCGGCTGGACCCGAAACCAGAACCGAGAGCGCTCCTTGCAGAGGGGCAATAACAGAGAAACAGATTTCTCTGCAGCACGTACAGAACACCCGCTCAAACCATCCTCGTATCTGCACAGGGTATCCTTGTTTTTTGGAGCTCTGCCTAAAGAAAAATGCTGATCATTTTGGACAACGGCTTCACAGAAGAAGGGTATTTGGGCAAGGACATGAAGTCGGCCCCTGTCCCCGTTTGGGCACTTGGGCACACAGCGAGACTGCGCCGCGTGCGTATTCTTCCATACCCAGATGCAGTTAATTACTGTTTCTGACATGACGCATCATAAAATGATAGACTCAAACACAGTAAATAAAACCAGTGTGAATCTACATTATTGTTTTGAAACTGTCACTAGAAAAATAGTCTAATTATAAAAATAATTTGAATGTCAGCACAGAATAAGCAGAACAATTTTCCTACTGTCAGTCTTGCTTTTAGGTTTTGGAGCTGTTTGTTAAAGAGGCTTATTAAAGAAAATATATAATTTCTCAATATATTATCAACAGCGTGTATATAATTTAATACAGAATTGACAAATATGCAACATAAGACAGTAATTACAAGTGGTTAATAAATTCTGTAAATACCATTACAGAAATGCAGATCTCAATTTCAGCTTCCGAATCACTGGCTACAGAGAAAGACAAAATGCATTTGTAGCCATCTGAAGTCTGTATTATTTTCTCTCCCCTCAAAGTTTTCTGTTAATATGCAATGTTTGTATAAATATGCCATTAAAGTTTATATATATATATATGTACACACACACAAACCAAGACTTCTTAATATGCATATGTATAAAATCACTTACTTGATGGAAAGGCTGCCAATTATATCTGCATAACCATAATCTGGATACAATTTGGCATTTTTCCCCTTTAAAAAGGAACTTAAAAGAGCCAAATTCTGAATCTCTGCACAAAATATAAGTGAGACTTAGAGCAACAGTCATACATCTACCTCAGTCACAGAGCAAGTGAAATACTCACCTGCAGCCTTTAATCCTTTCAGTGGCTTTATTATTATTACTATTATTTTTAATATCAAACAGATTCCAATTAGAGGAGAAAATGTAGAGAAGCAAACTTGATTTTGAAAATTCTGTTTTTTCAACCCCTCTTCTAAAAGAGAAACAAATCATCATATACCTCATTCTTGACACTTTCAGTTTTGCACCTGGAAACCCTACTGTGAGAGGCAAACAAACATAACCAAAGATGAACGCATGAATCTCTGGAGTTTACCAATAGTTGCTACAACCATTTTCATTTTCAAGGTAATTTTTGCTAGATAATTCACTTCAAAATGCGTATGTGCATAAATACACACAAGGACACCAGCAATATGGGTACATACTCCCATCACTGCATACAAGGGTACTTAGAAAAGAAACAAGTGACATTTGATCGGGATTCCAAACCTCTGACTTGCCGGTCTGTCAGCAAAGCTCAGGCAACTTCGGTCTTGTTTGGGTAACACAAAAACTTGAACATATTCCTCCAGAAACACAGAGCCCCCCTCGCCATCCTCCTCCTCCCCGTGTAAGAGCCAGCGCAGCAGAACCCCCGGCTCTGTCCCAGAGACCCCATTCCACTTGACAGGAAAAGTTAACTCAGTTTGAAACCTTGCTTCCTAGTAAAGATACGGAACAGAAGAACGGCTTGAAAAAGCTTAAGAAATCATTTGTACACATGGTAAAAGAAGAGCTGTCTTACACAGTTAATACCGGGTACCTTACAGATTATTTTTCTATACATCTGCCTGGGTTTTGCTCGGGAGAGCTGTGGAGGTGCTGCTGCTCTCCTATAGTATAATGCAGGTTTTCTTATCCTTGAAAGGGTTTTCAGAGGCAGGGATGCCCATCAGCAAAGGGTCCTTCTTGGCATGTTCTTCGCAATAGAGCATTAGGTCCGCTGATGCTTTGGACACCTGCAGAAGACAGAGGCAAGGGGGGAAAAAGGTTGAATCTGAGTGTCCTGTTCTAGGACACTGCAGGGTTAGGCAGTGGCAATGCTCACCTCTTCCGTGGCTGTGACAGAGGACCAAAAATAAACAGGAGTTTTTTATCTCTGAAGTAGGGGTTAACATTTACAGACACATTCTCAGCTGGCTGTTTCTAGAACACTAAATAGGTGCCTTCGGCTCCATGACACCACGCCTTATCTTAAGGAAAACTATCTATACCTAAGAAAAAAGGCCTTTGCTGTGTGACATTGTAACTTAGTTCTGACAGCCTTCAAAAGGGGCCAGACAATGATTTAAGGAGGGAAACAAATGTAACCTGAACAGGCAATGCAACCAACACACCCAACTTCTGAGCCCTTCTAGATAGAAAAACTGGCTTCTTTTCTGCCATAAATTAAATAAATCCAATTTCGGCGACTTTCCTCCTTCAAAAAGCCTACGCGCATTCAGATGCCTTGTAGGTGCAAATTTTAGCACACGAGACGTCTGCTCACCTTTATTCTTTCTATTGAGGCTTCTATTCTCAACTGCTGAACAGTCCGCCGGGCCTGCGCTATGTTATTGGTCGTGTTAGCCGTTTTGCCAGACATTTTCAGTTAAATCTCGGAGCTCTGTTAGGAAAGACAACCGGTTACTTTTCTGAAAAGTGGCGCAGCGCCTTAAAGTGCTTAAAGTGGCAACAGCAGCACCCTGAAAAAGGCGCGTTTTGTGATTTTACCTAAAAAGACTTGTTAAAATCAGCGGGACAAGGGAGGCCTTGCAACCAAAACGCTCTCTGGAAAAGCTGTGTCAAGCGCTGTTTTCAGACACGCAGGAGCGTGTCGGGGTCCCTGGAGGCCCCGCGGGCTGGGGAGGCTCCCGCGGGCCCCGCGCGGCCGCAGGGGAGGCAGGACGGGAGCAGGGAGGGCTCCCCCCCCGGCTCCGGAGGCACCGGAGCAGCAGCTGTGCAGCGCGGAGGCGGGGGGAAGAGAGGAGGAAACGGCCAGGCAAAGTCCGCGGGGACATTCCCGGCTGCTCCCGCTTCCCCAGGGCCATATATGGTGGCGCTGCGAAAAAAGCCGAACGGGCAACGCGGGGACTTTCCTTCCGCGGGCAGGAACCGGAGCGGGAGGAGGCCCGGCTTCCGCGGGGGCGGCCCGGGGCCTGCTGGAAGTTGGGTGTTCCCAAGAAGGAGCCGTTAGCCAAGAGCGCGTGCGCGGGGCCGCGGCCGGGGAAGCGGGACGGCTGCTCAGGAGGGGCCTCCGGAACCGATACCGGCAACGCTCGGAACACGTTTCCTGGAACAGGCATTAAAAACTGCCTCATGAATCTCTCTAATCTCGCTGGATCTGAACGGCCATGGAGCAGCCACCCCTACTTTTCCTGTATCTTTGCATTTGCCTCCGAGAGGAGGAGAGGGAGACAGAGACCCAATTTCAGTGCTGTGAGGAGCCCGGCGGGCTGCGGAAGAGGCCGATGCGGCTGCTCCGGCGCCGCAGGGACGGACGCGCTCGGGGCCCTCCTGCACCGACTCGTTCCAGAAAAGCCCCAGCGAGGCCGGGCACAGCGACGCACATTGTTCACGGCCGCGTCCCGTGGAAGGGACCCGACACAAAAGCAACAAGAGGGGGGCAAAAAAAAAAAAAGCGTCAACAGGATTTTTCCCCTGCGAAGCAGTTTCCTCTGTTCCCTGTGTGATGCCACCCTAAACCAACACGCTCTCTCCCTCTGACAAACATTGACCCCTTCCCTGCCGCTCGGGACCAGCGGGAAGGGCCGCGGGAAGCCCCGGCTGCACAAAGGTCCTTCCCAGGTGCAAGGAGCACGGGGAGCACGGCGGGCCGGGAGCCACCGCGGCGGCGCCAACGGGACGCGCAGGGAAAGGCCCCGGGCTGCTCTGGCCGCGAGGAGCAGGGGCCCGAAACACCGCGTGCACCCGCACCCCGACGCAGCCACCCCACACCAAGCTTCCCAATGGCATTTGCTCCCGTAAAATTACACTATTTATTTTTGGGGTATTTAACGCGGTGAATGCAACGATTGCAAAGCTAACTGCTAACTCCCAGTCACTTGTCTAGACCCAGCGTGGCTAATGCGATAGGGTAGCCAAGTGACTGCCCCACGCAGATGGAATATGCCACAGGCAGCGCCCAGGGCGCACGCCCCGATCTGCTAATATTTGCATTACCCAGATATTAAAATGCATTTTGATGGGATATTTAACGATTCGATCTGCAAAGCAGCAGGAAAGTTGACTGACACAGAATAAACACATTTATCTGAGAAGAGCCATAAAGCTGTGG